TACGAGTGTGATCAGCCCATTCCACATTATGTGCCAAAACTCTCAAGACCATGGCGAGAAATATTCCTGCGGGTGGAGGGAAGGAAGGGTTGGAACTGCAGGCCAGCCTAGGCCTGCCGCCCCGCATGTTAGTTACCTCCACCCATGGGTTGTGCGGTGTGGCAGGTGTGGTGGGAGCTCCTGCTGTGCTGCGAGCCACAGCAGCTCCTAGGAGGAGGAGGAGGAGGAGGAGGAGGAGGAGGAGGAGGAGGAGGAGGAGGAGGAGGAGGAGGCGGAGGACGCATAGGGGTCACACTTATCCTCGCAATGATCCTTGTTGTTCCCATCGTCTTCTCTCCTCCAGGGTTGGGACTGCGCGGACATCTTGCTTGTCTTTCTTGCTGCTCACAGTGCCTGTGAAATGCGTAGGCGCGGGGAGCGGTGCCGATCGCGATCGGCCGACTGACGCTTCGAGCGCCCGCTCTCAGGACTTGCCTAAGACAAGGACGCAGAGGGAGGAGGCAGGAGAGCGCCGAAAGAAGACACTGAGGATGGAAGAAGACAACACTTCCTAAACATAAACTTTCGGAGCTCCGCGCGGATCTCTTGGGATCGCTGGGCCCTCGTGGGCGACCTCTCTGTGGCGGCAGCGTGCACCTGCCGGCGGCAGCCGCTGAAAGACGGACGGCCTCTTCTCTGGCCGTCGGCCGGGCGGCTCGAGGGGGAACCAGGTGGCGACATCTGAAGGGTTCGGATTTCGCCACGTGCTCGACGAACTCCGAGTCGTACCCCCGCCGCCCATCGCCCTACCTGAATCGTGGATCGGCGAGGGTAGGGTTCCCAGACATGCGACGCCCTGTCTTCTTCGCTACGGGGTCCCCAGAGGTCCCGACCCCTTCCTCGGGACCGGCTTATTGCCCTGAGTTGTTTTTTGCCGGTCCTGGGGCCTGGTGAGGGCCCCAAGACCGACAAAAAACAACAAAAAAAAAAAGAACTTCGCAAACTACGAAAACACGTTGCAACGTCGAAACAATGACGAAACAATGACGAAAAGGACGAAAAACGACAAAATGCCGATAACGGCGAAGAACTTCCGTCCTGTTCTTTGCGCGCCGCGAGCGCCGGCCTTCCAAGAGCCGGCGGCGCGCACGGGGCCGCGAGGGGTGGCGCGGGGGGGGGGGGGGGGGGGGGGGGGGGGGGGGGGGGGGGGGGGGGGGGGGGGGCGGACTTCGAAGAATCAGAAGGGCGCGCCCTGGGGTGGAGGGGTGAAGCCCGAGCTCACAGCGTGGCTTCCTCCTCCTCCTCCTCCTCCTCCTCCTCCTCGTCCTCCTTCTCGTCCTTCTCCTCCTCCTCCTCCTCCTCGTCCTCGTCCTCGTCCTCCTCCTCTTCCTCCTCCTCCTTTTCCTCCTTTTCCTCCTGTTCCTCCTTTTCCTTCTCCTCCTCCTCCTCCTCCTCCTCCCTCTCCTCCTCCTCCTCCTCCTTCTCCTCCTCCTCCTCCTTTTTCCTCCACTTCCTCCTCCTCCTCCTGCTCCTCGTCGTCCTCCTCCTCCTCCCTTTCCCCCCTCCTCCTCCTCCTCCTCCTCCTCCTCCTCCTCCTCCTCCTCCTCCTCCTCCTCCTCCTCCTCCTCCTCCTCCTCCTACAACGCATGGTCAGGGGGGCGTGCTGAAACCGCACCCCAGAAGGGGAGACAAACCAAAAGGCGCGGACAGTCGTGGGGATGCGCCCTCAGAAGCTGATGGAACCCCTACGATCGGCACCGACAGAAGGCGATGCCAAGCGTAGGGATAAAGAAGGCGGCGCCTCCCTGGGCACCTTTCCTCTGGTGATGGCCGGAATGTTCGTGACAACTGATGTGGTTCTCGCTCTGGTGGGCAATCCCGGCGAACACCTCGAACCAGGCCGTCTCCAGTGCACTCTTGATCGCCCGCGTGCTGCTGTTCAGCTCTGGTCGGTGGTTCAAAACTGGGGTCCTGAGGGATGGGATCCGAAGGACGAGGTGCCCCGAACAATGTAAATCCGCCCTTGGATCCTTGGGGCCCCATCCCTCAGGATCCCATCTGTGAACCACCAAGAGAAAGATTAAGCCTTCTCAGAAAGCGGCGGGCCGTCTGAGAAGGCCTCTGGCCTTCTGAGACATGTTCTGTCTTCGGGGAGGGCTCAGAAAACCTCAGGATGCCAGAGGCCTTCCGAACCTTTTGAAATGGTCCGCCCCTTCTCACTTCCCTCCTCCTCCTCCTCCTCCTCCTCCTCATCCTCCTCCCCCTCCTCCCACGATTGTCGTTTTCGCCGTCGTCCTCCTCATGCGGAGGAGTGAGGAGGATTCCCAGGAAGATGCTTGTAAACGTTCGGGGGGCGCGTGTCCATGCGTATCCTTTGTGGGCGTTCGGAGAGCTCGCCTATAGCCTATATTACATTTGATCACGATGATGCTGCAAGTTCTTGCGCAACTCTTCCCTTTCACGCGCCTCCCGTTCATGTCAGGAAACATTTCGAGGGGGAGGGAGGGGGGGGGTTCGAACCGGTAGTGACCTCTCCCGGTTTTCGAGGGGGAGGAGGGGGGGGTTCGAACCGGTAGTGACCCCCCCCCCGGTTCTCTGGAGGGGAGGGGGGTTCGAACCGGTAGTGACCTTCCGGACGGGGGGGGGGTCGAACCGGTAGTGACCCCCTGCCGTTTTCCAGGGGGGGGGGTTCGATAGTGACCCCCTCTCGGTTGTTTTCTGGAGGGGAGGGGGGGGGAGGGGGGTTTCGGGGAGGGGGGGTTTTGCTGGGGGAAAGGGGGGGTTCCAGCAGGGAGGGGGGGATTTTCGGAGGGGGGGGGCCCGGGGTCCGGAGGAAGAGGGGGGGAATTTTCCACAGTAAAGCGGCGGTGGACCACGCTCTCTCCAAGAAAACAACATCCTTCGAAAACCTACGGAAAACTAATGACTTCTGCCCCTCGCCTTTTCTCTTCCGGTGACCATCCGAGGCCTCAGGATGCCTCTAAAAGACCTCAGAGGGACCCAAGAGCGCCCAAGAGAGAAGCCCAAGAGAGCCCCAAGGCCGCCCTAAGAGCGCCCCCCCCCCCCCCCCCCTGTCACAGACACCCCCGCCCACTCCGACAGAACCCCCTTCCTCCAGGACAGACCTCACCTCTCCGAGAAATCTCATTCCTTCTTTCCGACAGGAGTCTCTCTCCTGTCCTGCACAGACCCTGCCCTCTCTCCAACAACCCCCCCCCTCTCCTTCCTTCGTTCCGACTGACCTCTCTCCCCTCCGACCCTCCCCTTCGACAGAACCCCTCCCCCAACAAGAGCAGCACAAGCAGCAGCAGCAGCAGCAACAACACCAAGAGCAGAACGACCAGCATCAGCAGCATTACTCGCGCACGGCCACAGACGCATCATGATCATCATCATGATCATCATGATCATCATCATCATCATCATCATCGTCATCATCATCATCATCATCGTCATCATCATCACCATCACCATCACCATCACCATCACCATCAGTCATCATCAGCATCAGCATCAGCATCAGCATCAGCATCAGCATCATCATCATCATCATCATCATCATCATCATCATCATCATCATCATCATCATCATCATCATCATCATCATCATCATCATCATCATCATCATCATCATCCCCGGGAGTGCCCCGGATCGGCGGCACTGGCCAGAGGCCACTACAATATCGCTCCTTGACGCCCACGATGGCCCCTAGACGGCCTCCGAAGCTGCCAAGACGCCCCAAAAGGCCCCCAAGATGCGTCCCAAGAGGGTCCCAAGAAGCAAACATCGTCCCAACAGCATTTTTCGCATACTCGCCTACTCGCTTTGTCGGCTTTCACAACGTCCAAGACGGGCAAAGAAACCTTCAATATCGCCCTCGGACGGCCGAAGGGGCCCCCAAGAGGGGTCGAAGAGGGTCCAAAAACAGCACACGAAGCTCCCAAGGCAGCCCCAGAAGGCCCCCAGACGGCTCCAAGAGGGTCCAGAGGGCACCTTTTCGAGCCTTCGGCCCCAAGACGCCCCCAGCCTGCCCACAGAACACCCCGAGAGGCCCTGAGGGACCCCCAAGATGAACCTCAAAGGCCTCCAGGAAGCCCCCAAGAGGCCCCCAAACTTGGCCCAAGATGCCTCGAGGCGGCCGGGTATGGCCTGCAGACAGGCCAAGATGCCACCAAAACGCAACAAAAAAACACCAAGAGGTACGATAACAACAACGAAGCAAAAAGAACGATGTCGAGCGCCGTGTCATGATTCGGACAAGCCTCGTGAAATGCAGTCCTGGAGGCGCAGTAGTTTACATGGGGGTCGGCGGATGTGGCGTAAGCCTACAGAATCAATAAGCCAAGCCGGCGCACAGTAAATCAAGCATGTCTTAGCTAACGACCAAGCGAACAACATGACAATCAAATGCGCAAACTTGAACACACTGCTAAACTGGGGGGGGATAACTCGAATCAATTTCGCCCAACGCTGCCGAAGAAGCACTGGGCAAAGACTACTATGGGAGGCTTCTCGATCATCTGACGGTCTGTGGCAGAAGTGGTTTCTGGCCAAATTTCTGCCACTGCTCGCCCTCTCCTCTTCTTCACCTTACTCCTTACCTGGAGGTCCCCGAATGTCTCTGGAGGTTTCCGGAAGCCCCCGGACGCTCCCAGAGGCTCAAAAAGCTGGGGGGAGGCAACTGGCAAGCATGCACATTTGCTGCCCGAGAGATTCTCCAAACCCCTACAAGCTGATCACGGGCTGGGAGAATCATCGTCGTCGTCGTCGTCGTCATCGTCGTCGTCGTCGTCGTCGTCATCGTGGTCGTCGTCGTCGCCTTCGTTGTCGTCGTCGTCGTCGTCGTGCTCGTGGTCGTCGTCGTATTTGTCGCCGTGTTTGTCGTCGTCGTCGTCGGCGCCGAGCTTCGGCGCTGCATAGGGGCAGCCCGTCCTCCTTCCCTGAGCGCGTCTCCCCCCAGCTCTCCCGCACTTTCTCCCACTCATCATTTTGCTCGTCCTCCTCCTGGAGGGACGATTGAGGGAAGGCAAATCAGACACGTGCAAAGGGGAATAGACAGCATTTGTTGTTCCTGCACTCCCCGATGCAATCGTGGTCAGTCTCTCGTTCAGACACTGCCTGCTAGACAGCTCTGGATACCTCGGTCAGGCTGGGGGTGTTGCGTCGGTCTCAGCTCTGTCCATGTCTGCAAAAAAGACCCCCCGCCAAACACTCGAATAAAGTGTTGGCGTTTGAGGCGCACCAAATTCACACTATACTTCCCAGGGGTGCCTACTCAGCGTCGAAAACTTGGGCCTGGCCCACGTTGAATTAGCAAGCTCGGTCCAATGCATGACCGTAATGCGCCGCGCCATCAACAATGTCTGATTCAACAACACCGCCGCACCAGAAGGGCGATGCGGCATACGACACGGACATCATGCCAGTGCTGATCAAACCTGCACTGCTGGACCTTGGGAGCCCGACTGCAACATACCACTTGCCCGCGGGAAGCCACCGTGCACCGACGAACAACCTTGAGGGGACTTCACGCTCCCAAACCCAACACCACACCACCTCGTCAAATGCGCATTTAAAATGCACACATACGGCCACGGCAAGAGGTGACCCCCGTGACCCGGGTCACCCGCTCCTCTGGGATCCATGACCACATGGCAGCGCCCGCAACATCACTTTCCGACGGGAAGCCTTACTCACAGCCCAAGCCACAGTTCAAAAACGTCATCGCCAAACCCAGCATGGAACCACACCCTACTTTCCAACTCACTCCTAGAAACTCCTGAGCAAAACTGAGTATCGATTAACCGATCCACATCCCCAGCGGCGTGGCCTGGGCCCCACTGGCCGATTTACCCCCCTAGATGGGGATATAGGCCGTCCCTTCGGGTTTCGAGAGGTGTATCCCCAACTGGGGTGGTAATTTGGTGTGGGTCTCGAAGGGGATGGGGATGGGGATGGGGATCGGATAAGCGATACTGACTAGAACCTCCTGAACAAAACGGCTGCAACGGCAACCGATGACACGAGTGACCCAAGTGAAAGGTTCTCGTGAGAACCGTGACCGCACGGCAACGCTCGCAGCGTCACTTTTGCACGGGAAGCTCCACTAACAGCCCAAACAAACCACAATTCAAGTACATTGCAACAGGTTTAGGTTGCTATGGGCAAAATGAAACCACATCATTCTCCAATGCGCAGCTGAACAAACAGGTCGCCTCTGGGAATCTCGCCCATACCATCTGGCAACGCTCGCAATATCCGTGGCCCACGTGGGCAAAAACTTCAGGTACCTCCAGATTCCCTGGCCCAACATAAACTACATCCTCGGGATAAGTTCCATATCTTGCCCCGAACGCCGGACACTGGGCCAACGCTGGCCTTCACCAGGTATGTAGGTTATCGAGGGCGCGAAGATGTGGGCTTGCACCTTGTAGCTTACAACACAGCAACCATCACAGACTGTGCACCACATAGCTTGCACAAGATAGCTTACACCATACGTACATCTTGCGACGATGTGGGTCTGCACCACATGGCTTACACCGCATAACTAGCTCCCACACACTTTGCACCACACAGCTTGTACTGTACGCCTTGAGACTAGGGGGGTTTGCAACACGTAACTTCCATAACTTGCTTTGCGCCACATACATTACACAATGTAGCTTGCGACGATGTGGCGTTCTCATCGCATAGCTTGCACCGCATAATTGGCGCCACGTGGCTGGCACCACATAGTATATACCGCATTGCTTGCGACGATGTGATATCGCTTAACAGAGCTTACACAGCACAGTTGGCGTCACGTAGCTTACATCGCAGGGCACATATGGACGACTCCTCAAGCGAGATGCCGCTCCAACCAAATCCAACCAAACCATTAGTTACGACGCTATAGTCGGAGCCCATCTCAGCATATAGCAACTCGAACATATGGTGCGGGCGTTTCAAGCGCAATCGCAGACAAACCAGGCACATCGCGAGGCTTCTCAGTCGAAATCGCACCCAAACGATGCCAAACCAATGAGTTCGTGAGCATGCCTCAGGCTAAACCGCAACATACAAAATTACTCCGACGGTAGGACCCCACATGCTAATCTGTTTCGCTTGGCTGGGGATATTATCCTGCTCCTTCCTTCTACCCCCTCCTGCCTCCTCCTTCTCCTCCTACCTGCTCCTCTTTCCTCATTATCCTGCCTGCTCCTCCTGCCTCCTCCTCTTTCTGCCTCTTCCTCCTCCTCCTCCTCCTCATCATCATCATCATTATCATCCTCCTCTTTCTCCTTCTTCTCATCCTAATCCTCCTGCCTCCTCTCCCTCCACCTTCTCATTTTGCCTCCTCCCCCTCCGGCCTCCTCCTTCTGCCTCCTCCTTGGGCATCCTGCCTCCTCTTTCGACCTCCTGGGGCTCCTGGGGCCCACTGGAGCCACCTGGTGCCTCCTGGGGCCTCCTGGGGCACTCCGCGCCCTGCTGCTGCTGCTCCTCCTTCTCCTACTGCTTCTTCCTCCTCCTCCTCCTCCTCCTCCTCCTTCAGCACCTCCTCCTCCTCCTCCTCCTCCTCCTCCTCCTCCTTCTCCTCCATTTCTGTCTCATCCTTAGGCTGCTTCTTTCTCCCTCTCCTCCTCCTCCTCCTCCTCCTCCTCTTCCGGCGGCGCGCGCGGGTCTCTGCCACGGCCAAATCTCTATTGCCGGGAGTCGGCACAACCCCCCAACCAGGACCGTGGGTGGCGCGATTCATGGGTTGCCCATCCGTGCGTTGCGTGGGCTGCTCGCGAAACGGCGGTCGGAGCTTGCGCCTGACCTGGCGCTGGAATCGCCGTCGGAATTGACGTGAGAAAACTGAATTGTCGAAGCTGCCGTCTGAGGAGCCGCCCGAGTCGCAGCCGGAGCTGGCGTCGGAGCCGCTGGGGAAGTCGTAGTTGGTGCCGATGTCTGGGTTGGACCGAGTTCGAGTTTGTTGCTTGGGTCGGTTGTTGTGGGCCCGCTGCGGGTCGGGTGCTGTGGGTGATGTGCGTGAATTACTGACCGCATGTCTGCCCGATCCTGATTCAACATGTTTTGCTTGGAAACGATATGCTGCGGGTGGGCAGTTGTTCCCACTTGGTGCGTGGGTCGTTTGCTGAGGGTCGGATGTGGCTTGAGTTATGTTGCGTGGGTCGGTTGCTGCTGGTGGTCGTTGTCGTCGTCGTCGTGCCGCTCAGCGAGGTCGTGCCGCAGGAACTGACTCCAGGGTCATGGTCCAAGGCACTCGTCGTGTAACTGATGGGATCCGTCGTGCTGCCCGTGGTATCCGCCGTGCTGTCCGCGGTGTTGCTCATGGTAGCCGTCTCCTGCACGTGGTGCTCGTCCGACAGCTCATGGCGTCCGTCGTGCTGCTCGGGGTACCCGTCGTGCGGAGTGGAGCAGGAGTTGGTGTCGGTGTCGGAGTTGGTGTCTGCGTAGGAGATGGAAGTCGTGAATTGGGGGTGGTGAAGGGGGAAACGGGCTGCTAATGCTTGCGCCACGGGCTGCGTCGCGCCATTCGCGGGGTGCGTCATATGTTGCGCACTCTGCTGTCGAACGTAAGCGGCCTGCGATGAATTGCGCCATGGGCTGCGCACTTGGAGTCTATATGAATAACACGGCCTGCTGTGGGAACCTGGGTTGGTTGCGCCGTAGGTTGCGCACTCGGCGGCAAAGAACAGAGCCGCCGGCGATTGGTTACGCTACAGGTTGCGCGCTAGGCGGCCGAGAAACAGACGACCCGCTTGTGGCTGCGCCTGAGGTTACGCGGCGGATAAAGCGGTCTGCGCACTCGGCCGCCGAGAATGACATGGCCTGCTGTTCATTGCGTCATGTGCACTCGGCGGCGGGACACAAACGGACCTGCGATTGATTTCGTAATATATATATATATATACGTAACAGATTATGTATAGGCGCGCCCAGCGACCACAACCAAAACGGCATCCTGACGGGTGCGACCAGTCCAGTCCAGTTTACCGCGCGAGAAAACTAATTCATGCTACGCCAGAACATCATCAAATCAACTCGAACCTTGACCCTAACACTTAATCCAAACCTCACACCTCGATATCCCCCCGACATCCTACGTTTTATACTGGGATATTGTTTTGACCCGCGGGTCCCAAGACCTAATGAGCACCTGCCCTGGGAGGTTTTTTTTCGTGCTGGCTTGACGTCTGGAGGATCGAAGACTGTTCAGAGAAACAGAAACGAATGAGCAGCACCGAAATTGGAAGCAGAGATTCTCTCGACGGCTGGGCCTATCTCTTCTCCTCCAAACCTCAGGCGGCGCGGTGTCTCCACATCGTGGGCGTCTCTACCTTTTTGTTGGGGCTGACTTCTCATCCCGAGTCGGTTCTTGACGGCCCCGTCACAGGTTCCTTGAGGACCCAAAGGGAAATTGGCATAACAAACATGAACACCGTCCTTCCATGTATTTCCCAACCATCCTGTCGTGCTGGGTCCTCGTTTCGAAGAGACGGTCCCCGCGTTCCTCTCCTCCTCCTCCTCCTCCTCCTCCTCCTCCTCGAGCGTACCCAGAGAGTCCTCCTCCTCCTCCTCCTCCTCCTCCTCCTCCTCCTCCTCCTCCTCCTCCCCCTCCTCCTCCTCCTCCTCCTCCTCCTCCCCCTCCTCCTCCTCCTCCCCCTCCTCCCTCCTCCTCCCTCCTCCCATCCGCCTCGTCCCCTCACTGCGTTTCACCCACCCCGGGGAGTGTTTCGTGGCCCCATAGGGCGCTCCACCGAAGGCTCCCGCGGCAGGGTCGGTATGCGCTCCCCCGCCCATGTCGGCACACCCCTCACGAGGATCGTGGCCCCATAGGGAGCTCCACCGAAGGCCCCCGCGGTAGGGTCCGCATGCGTCCCCCCGCCCATGTCGGCGCACCCCTCACGAGGATCGTGGCCCCATAGGGAGCTCCACCGAAGGCTCCAGCGGCAGGGTCGGCATGCGCCCCACGCTCATTTCGGCACACCCCTCACGAGGATCGTGGCCCCATAGGGCGCTCCACCGAAGGCCCCAGCGGCAGGGTCCGCATGCGTCCCCCCGCCCATGCCGGCACACCCCTCACGAGGACCGTGGCCCTATGAGGAGCTCCACCGAAGGCTCCAGCGGCAGGGTCGGCATGCGCCCCCCGCCCATGTCGGCACACCCCTCACGAGGAGCGTGGCCCCATAGGGCGCTCCACCGAAGGCCCCCGCGGCAGGGTCCGCATGCGTCCCCCCGCCCATGTCGGCACACCCCTCACGAGGATCGTGGCCCCATAGGGAGCTCCACCGAAGGCCCCCGCGGCAGGGTCCGCATGCGCCCCCCCGCTCATTTCGGCACACCCCTCACGAGGATCGTGGCCCCGTAGGGAGCTCCACCTAGAGCGGTACCCGCAACGCGGCACTCACAAGTGCACATGGTTGGGCCCTTCGCCAGGATAATTTCACGACGCGAGGAAATCTGGTCTGGCCGGCTTGCAGCCAATAACTCGGGCCTCTACTGGCTGCTCGGGACGATCAGGGCACCCCTGAATGCCTCACGGCAGGGCGCAACTGATGGTAAAAAACCCGGGGCTGGAAAACACCCGGGGCACGCGGGTGAGGGGGGCGGGATGTATCCTTGGCATGCAAAGGGGGGGGGGCCTGAGAACTTCCGCGCGGCTGCAGGGGGCCGGGCAGTCGGGTTCGGGGAGGGGTGCTGGGAGGGGGAGGGGGCACGCTGCGTTCTCACGCTTGTACACCCCCTTTGATTAATCCCACCAGCCCTTTCGGGCGTGAGTGGTTCAGAGCGTTTCTGAGCAACTCGTCTGGGCATTGTTTCTGGACGGGCTAGTGGTGTTGCTCGAAGCGTCTAGAGTCTAGAATTAGAAGGTTGGAAGCACGTTCGGGGGTCGAATAGAAAGTTTGGAGCTGGGCATGGTTTCTCGATGGGCTGGCGGGGTGGCGCGAAGCGTCTAGGATGAGAGGCTTGGAGCTACGCTCGGAGGTCGGAATGAGACGAAGCTTTGAGGCACGTTTGTCGCCCCCCCGGGAGGTACGTTTCAAACGTCCGAAGGCCTCCCTCCTGCGCAACGGGGAAGGGCGCCCGGTCGATGGCCCCGCGTCAGATCGACCCCGCGCGCGGCCGCGTGGAGCACGCGTCCCTGTCGGACCCCTCGCCGACCTGCAGGGCGGGGCTGGGGAGGAGGTGGGGGAGTAGGGGAGAAGAGGGGGAGGCAAGCCAGGCAAGAAACACCGAGATGTCCTTGGGGGAGGGAGAGAAGGATGAGAGGGATAATGATAAGGATAAGGAGAAGGAGGATGAAGAGGAAGAAGGGGGAACGAGGTATCGATGAGGTTTTCTCTTGGGGGGGAAAGAAGGGAGTGCGACAACAGAGCTCCACCTGACTCGGCCTCAACCGCGGAGCGAACCAAAGCGTCGCCGGGCAAACCGGGAACACCATGAGCTGACCTGCGATAGGCACACGCATGCAACGACCCGTGGCCTGCAAGAAAAGAGAACCGCGCCGTATTCTTCTAAACGGCCAACGGCATAACATCCCCACCACACGACGAGATGAGGTAAGAGGGAAGAGGGGGAAGAGGAGGAGGAGGAGGAGGAGGAGGAGGAGGAGGAGGAGGAGGAGGAAGAGGAGGAGGAGGAGGAGGAGGAGGAGGAGGAGGGGGAGGAGGAGGGCGAGGAGGAGGAGGAGGAGGGGGATCGATCGATCGATCGAGCTGTCGGGCCGATGTCGGGGTGACTGACGCTCTAACTGGCACTGAAGAGCAGCGCCTCTAGCATGGCCTAGCTGTGTTCTCGGAGTTCAAACTGGTCGAGCTGACGTCAGTGGACGTTCGGGCCCGACCTGCGCCGACCTCCCCTCACGCAGGGGCCTGCGGGCAGGGTAGCACCCGCACTCGCGGAGGTCTCTCGCTCTGCTGCTGGTCGCTTGGTTGGCTCCACGTACCCTTACCTCTTCCCTTGCGCTCATGTTCGGGAAGGGGGAGGTCGGTCCAGCTGTAAATAGTTCGGACGTGGGCCTCCGGATTGGAAGATTTCTGGAATAACAGACTGCGAGGGGGAGGAGGAGAGAGACGTCCAGAACTTACTATCTCACGGGACCTGGCGCTGATCTCAAAAACCCGTGGGATGGTCTGGGGGAGCTGCTGGGGGAGGACTGAGCGAAATCGGACACGGTTCTCCTCCGCATCGCCTCTCAGGAGTGGACCCTGAGCAGTCTCGTCTGCTCGGTGCGCTGCCTCGTTATCTGCCGAATCGAATGTGTCTGCGATCATGTCGATGCCTATCTCCTCGCTCATCCGTTCACGAGGCGGCCAAGCTCCCTCTCCAACGCGCCCCTCGGGGCCGACCCTGTCTTGCGGATCGCTCCCTCCTTCTTGAGCTGGTTGATCGGGACCGTGCAGAGCTGGTGGCCGTTCTCTCCGAACTTGTACTGAAGCTCGCGCTTCTCGACTCCGTTGTCCTCCTTGCCCGTGTTGCGCCGAACCCTGAACACTGGTGTGATGTCTGCCTGGGCCTCCGTGTCGCCTATCGGCACCATGTCGCGGTAGTGGTTCGTGACCTATGCGAGCTGCGCGTCCTCCTCGAGCGACGTGCTCAGGTATGCGCGCGTCTCCGTCCACGCTCGCACGTGTGGGCTGCCCAGGCTGCCTGCGTCGATCTGCTCGTCGTTCTTCGCCCTCTGGTGGAGCGCCTGGGCCTCGTCGTTGTGCGCATTTCCCGCCCCGAGGCCCGCTGAAGCTATGCCTGCCGCCGAAGAGACTTCCCCAGTCCGGAGGGGAGCGGCTGCGAGTTCTGCCTGCTCTCTGGCCGCCGCGAGCGTCGGCCGTGTCACGAGCTCCGCGATCTGCTGCCGGTTGCCTCCGATGGCTGCGCCTCGCTGCGGGGGGCGCGCTGATGGCTGCGATCGTCTCGCCGTGCTGCGCCCCCGCCTGGCTGCGCCGCCGCCTGGTTCGCTGGCCTCTGGTCGAACAACATATCGATCCCCACGCGGCGGCAGTATCAGTGGCATCGGTAAGTGCGTGCGTAGATGCCGAACGTGCGTGCCATTGTTCAAAGAGAAATCGAAATGACTAGCGGACACTACCCCAGAGGCGTGTGAGGGAGAGTGTGTGCTAGAGCCATTCATCGTGAGGTTCTCCTTTCAAGCAGCCACCGACCGATACCCCCCTCCTGGCTCTCTCCCTTGGAACCTTTGTTCTTGGGCCCCCCCTTCCCCCACCACACCACTTCTCGCCCAAAACCGACCGATACCCCCAACCACACTCCCCACCACGCCCCCGACCCCCGAACCCACGATGTCACGCCCAAAAACAACCCATACCCCCCACCTGGCCACCACCTGGCCACCACCCCCCCACGACATCTCCAGGCCTCTGGGCTCTGTTCTTGGGACCCCCGGCCTCACGATTTCTCGGCCAAAAACGACCCATACCCCCCACCTGGCCCCCACCTGGCCACCACCCCCCCACGACATCCCGAGGCGTCTGGGCTCTGTTCTTGGGACCCCGAACCCTACGATTTGTCGCCCCAAAACAACCCATACGGCCCACCTGGCCCCCACCTGGCCACCACCCCCCCCACGACATCCCCAGGCCTCTGGGCTGTGTTCTTGGGACCCCGAACCCTACGATTTGTCGCCCCAAAAACAACCCATACCCCCACCTGGCCCCCACCTGGCCCACCACCCCCCCACGACATCCCCAGGCCTCTGGGCTGTGTTCTTGGGACCCCCGACCCTACGATTTCTCGCCCAAGAAACGACCCATACCCCCACCTGGCCCCCACCTGGCCACCACCGCTCCCCACGACATCCCCAGGCCTCTGGGCTCTGTTCTTGGGACCCCCGACCCTACGATTTCGCCCCAAAACGACCCATACCCCCCACCTGGCCCCCACCTGGCCACCACCCCCCCACGACATCCCCAGGCCTCTGGGCTGTGTTCTTGGGACCCCCGACCTTACGATTTCTCGCCCAAAAACCTCCCACACCCCCCACCTGGCTCTCACCTGGCCACCACCCCCCCACGACATCCCCAGGCCTCTGGGCTCTATTCTTGGCACCCCCGACTCGACGATTTCTCGCCCGAAACGACCCATACCCCCCACCTGGCCCCCACCTGGCCACCACCCCCCCACGACATCCCCAGGCCTCTGGTCTCTGTTCCTCGGACCCCGGACCTACGATTTGTCGCCCCAAAACAACCCATACCGCCCACCTGGCATCCACCCGGCCACCACCCCCCCTCCCCCCTCCCCAACGACATCCCCAGGCCTCTGGGCTGTGTTCTTGTGAACCCCCGAACTTTAACGATTTCTCGCCCAAAAAACAACCCATCACCGCCCCCTGGCCCCCACTTGGCCACCCCCCCCCACCCCCCCCCCACGACATCCCCACGCCTCTGGGCTCTGTTATTGGGACCCCCGACCCTACGATTTCTCGCCCAAAAACTACCTATACCCCCCACCTGGCCCCCACCTGGCCACCACCCCCCCACGACATCCTCAGGCCTCTGGGCTCTCTTTTTGGGAGTTCGGACCTTACGATTTGTCGCCCCAAAACAACCCATACCCCCCACCTGGCCCCCACCTGGCCACCACCCCCCCACGACATCCCCAGGCCTCTGGGCTGTGTTCTTGGGATCCCCGACCTTACGATTTCTCGCCCAAAAACGACCCATACCCCCCACCTGGCCCCCACCTGGCCACCACCCCCCCACGACATCCCCAGGCCTCTGGGCTCTGTTCTTGGGACTCCCGACCCTACGATTTGTCGCCCAAAAACAACCCATACCCTCCACCTGGCGCCCACCTGGCCACCACCCGCCCCACGACATTCCCAGGCCTCTGGGCTCTCTTCTTGGGACCCCCGACCTTACGATTTCTCGGCCAAAAACGACCCATACCCCCCACCTGGCCTCCACCTGGCCACCACCTCCCCGCGACATCCCCAGGCCTCTGGGCTCTGTTCTTGGGACCCCCAACCCTACGATTTCTCGCCCAAAAACGACCCATAATTCCGCTACCTGAGCCCCTTACCTGGCCACCCCCGGGCCCCCCACAATCCCCAGGCCCATGGCTCTGTTCTTGGGACCACCCGACCCTAACGATTTCACGCCCAAATCGACCCATATCTCATATACCCCCCACCTGGCCCCCACCTGGCCAGCACCCCTCCACGACATCCCCAGGCCTCTGGGCTCTGTTCTTGGGACCCCGGACCCTACGATTTGTCGCCCCAAAACCACCCCCCCACGACATCCCCAGGCCTCTGGGCTGTGTTCTTGGGATTCCCGACCTTACGATTTCTCGCCCAACAATTTCTCGCCCTACGATTTCTCGCCCAAAAACGACCCATCCCCGCTACCTGGCCCTTACCTGGCCACCACCCCCCCACGACATCCCCAGGCTTCTGGGCTCTGTTCTTGGGACCCCCGACCCTACGATTTCTCTCCCAAATCGACCCATACCCCCCACCTGGCCCGCACCTGGCCAGCACCCCCCCACGACATCCCCAGGCCTCTGGGCTCTGTTCTTGGGACCCCGGACCCTACGATTTGTCGGGCCCCAAACAACACCATACCCCCCCCACCTGCCCCACACCTGCCACCACCCCCCCAACTCGACAACCCCAGCCTCTGGGCACTGTGTTCTTGGGACCACCCCCGACCAGAACCGATTTCTCGCCCAAAACCGACCCCAATACCCCCACCCCTATGGCCCCTTTTTGGCCACCACCCCCGACCACTACCTCCCCAGGGCCTCGTGGGCCTCTGTCTTTGGGACCCCACCCCAACTCGACGATTTCTCGCCCGAAAACGACCCCTACCCCCCACCTGGCCCCCACCTGGCCACCACCCCCCCACGACATCCTCAGGCCTCTGGGCTCTCTTTTTGGGAGTTCGGACCTTACGATTTGTCGCCCCAAAACAACCCATACCCCCCACCTGGCCCCCACCTGGCCACCACCCCCCCACGACATCCCCAGGCCTCTGGCTGTGTTTCTTGGGACCCCGACCTTACGATTTCTTCGCCAAAAACCTCCACAAACAAACGCCCCCACCTGGGCCAGGCCCCCACCCACTTGCCACCAACCCCCCCCACGACATCCCCAGGGCCTCTGACTCTGTTCTTGGTAAACCCATCCCGACTCCCCACCTGGC